AATATCGGAAGTCGAAGCGATTTTTCCCATAAGAAATAAAGGGAATTGAATTAACCCATTCCTCACCCTCCAAAATATTAACTTACAAATACATTTTATATTCAATACAATTTTTGTTTTCTAACTTTCTTGTTTTTTTCTAACTCGCAGTCTCCGTGGTGTAGTGGTAAGACACTCGCCTGGCGTTCCGCGAGCGCTGTGTCATGGGTTCGTATCCTGGCCGGGGAGGATTTACTGGGCGCAATTCCTTAACTGTAGCCTCTGTTTAACGCAACAGTAAAATGGTGTACTTGGAGAAAAAAACGATTCTTCGCGGCAGGGGATCGTATTCCAGGGACCATAGGATTAAGGACTTGCCCGAAACGCTACGCGTACTAGTGGCTGTACAAGAATGTAACAACTCTTGTATATATCTCAAAAAAAAAAAAAAAAAAAAAACTACAATACAGTACATATGTTTATCTTACCTTTATGGAGGACTCTTGATGGCATATGGAAGATGGTGATGAAGGGGGGAGGAGGAGAGTTGTTACTGTTTGGAAGGGGGAGTCTCCTTCCTTATAACATCAGGCAGTGATAACTTTTCTGGGATACACTCTGGCATGTTTTGCCTGCATACCACTAGGACCTTCTTGTGGCTCACTGCTTGCTTGTCTTACTAAGAATTTGTCTAAAGACACTTGTTTTTCCCTACATTTTAACACTTGTCTGTAGTAAGACATCATATTGTCATTTAAAGGTCAATGCAATGGCCTGCTACAGCTTTACCTGGGTTATTTTTTCAACAAAACTTTGCAGTTCTTCCCATACTTCACACATTTTCTTAATGACGAAGGGGCATCCTCTACTGCCTCTACTCACAACTATTTTCTTAGGTTGAACCTTACCACTGACTTTCTTGGGACTCATTTTATTATTTTAATTTTTATTTTTGTTTATATATATACAAGAAGGTACATTGGGAGTGTGAGGATACATAGCAGAGTAATAATATTCTTGTAAAGCCATTAGTATGCGCAGCATTTTGGGCAGGTCCTTAATCTAAGAAACTTATAAGTAGGTAAATACTGTACTTGCAAAATTTATAAAAATGATAACAGTTATATAGCATGAAAAAATAAAAGATAAGAGAAAAATTGTAGGTATATTAAAGTACATAGGTAGCTCAGAGTGATTGCAATGACAGCTTGAATGGTAGTTTAACAAAACTTAGCAGGCACAATACAGCATATTGGCTAGCACATAAAAGAAGACAGCAATGAACACAATGATAAAGTTGTTTGGATTAAGTACATAAAGATTGGGAGATTGGGTAACACTAGATACAGAGCAAATTTAAAGCTCAGTGTAGGAAACTACGAAGATGAAATTAGGTACTTTTTGTTTTTGTTTTTAAATGAGGCAAAAGTTTGACAACTTTTCAATTCACTAGGGAGTGAGTTCCATAGACTAGGTCCCTTAATTTGCATAGAGTGTTTACACAGATTAAGTATGACCCTGGGGATATCAAAGAAATATTTATTTCTGGTGTGGTGATAATGGGTCCTATTACATCTATCCAGGGAGAATTTCAGAACATGGTTTGCATTTAAGAACAGGGTTTTGTAAATGTAGTTGACACAAGAGAATGTGTGGAGGGAGTTAATATTTAGCAAGTTAAGGGACTTAAACAAGGGGGCCGAGTGTTGTCTGAAAACAGAGTTTGTTATTATTCTGATAGCAGATTTTTGCTGGGTGATGATGGGCTTTAGGTGGTTTACAGTGGTAGACCCCCATGCACTGATACCATAATTAAGATAGGGATAGATTAGTACATAATATAGTGAGAGGAGAGCAGAGTTAGGAACATAATATCTTATTTTGGAGAGTATTCCAACTGTTTTAGAGACTTTCTTAGTTATGTGTTGAATGTGGGTGCTGAAGTTTCTTGTCTAGGAATAGGCCAAGAAACTTTCCATCATTTTTATTACTGATGTTAATGTTGTCTATCTGTAGCTGAATTGCATTCGATGATTTGCTTCCAAATAAGATGTAGTAGGTCTTTTCTATGTTTAGTGTTAGTTTGTTAGTTAACATCCATAAGTGGACTTTTTTTAATTCATTATTCACAACATTATTTAGTGTATGTGGGTTGGGGTCTGAATAGATGAGGGTAGTATCATCAGCAAACAATATAGGTTTAAGAACATTAGAGACATTAGGTAGATCATTGATATATATAAGAAATAGAAGAGGTCCTAAGATGCTGCCCTGTGGCACTCCAATGGTTATTGGTAGAGTGGAAGAGGTTGTATCATTGATAGTTACACATTGGTGTTTGTCACTAAGATAGGATCGGATATAGTCCAGGGCAAGGCCTCGGATTCCATAATGCTGGAGTTTAAGTAAAAGTTAGTTGTGATTAACAGTATCAAAGGCTTTTCTTAGGTCAATGAAGAGTCCAATTGGAAACTCATTTTTGTCAGTGGCTGAGTAGATTACGTCAAGGAGACTAATGATTGCATCATTGGTGCTCTTTTGGGACCGGAAGCCAAACTGGCAGGGGCTGCATATGTCGAATTTTACGAGGTAGGAATAGAGCTGTTTGTATATAATTTTTTCAAATATTTTTTATAGAATGGGTAGATTTGATATTGGGCTATAATTGTTTATGTCTGCCGGATTGCCTCCTTTATGGACTGGCGTAACTCATGGCATGATATATAATACTGTAATCAGTTTTATGTTCAAAAAGCAAAAAATCACAACAAAAACGGAATTTCTTATAGGCGTGATCGTCACTAAGCGGGCAGCTCTAGTAAACTGAGGCAGGTCGGCCCGCATGACCGGGAACCACAAGCTTGGTCGACCCAAACGTGTACCAACAAATATCATTAGTCGACGACACTATCGTAAGTCGAGTCGCATTGTTTTATGAAATTTACATCGTAACTCGAAATTATCGTAAGTCGGGGCAATTATTAATTATTGATAATTAATTGATAATTATTCACTTCTTTTCCATCACCTCGAAAAACGAACATGACTTTTGGAGAACTCCTCTTCCAACTAAACCCTGATTCAAGAGCATTAGTTAGTGGGATAGAAGCCCTAAATCAGAAAATAGTCAATACAGAATATGCTATCATATTCAATGATATATATATATATATATATATATATATATATATATATATATATATATATATATATATATATATATATATATATATATTTATATATATATATATATATATATATGTCGTACCTAGTAGCCAGAACGCACTTCTCAGCCTACTATGCAAGGCCCGATTTGCCTAATAAGCCAAGTTTTCCTGAATTAATATATTTTCTCTAATTTTTTTCTTATGAAATAATAAAGCTACCCATTTCATTATGTATGAGGTCAATTTTTTTTTATTGGAGTTAAAATTAAGGTAGATATATGACCGAACCTAGCCAACCCTACCTAACCTAACCTAACCTATCTTTATAGGTTAGGTTAGGTTAGGTAGCCGAAAAAGTTAGGTTAGGTTAGGTTAGGTAGGTTAGGTAGTCGAAAAACAATTAATTCATAAAAACTTGGCTTATTAGGCAAATCGGGCCTTGTATAGTAGGCTGAGAAGTGTGTTCTGGCTACTAGGTACGACATATATATATATATATATATATATATATATATATATATATATATATATATATGTCGTACCTAGTAGCCAGAACACACTTCTCAGCCTACTATGCAAGGCATGATTTGCCTAATAAGCCAAGTTTTCATGAATAATTTGTTTTTCGACTACCTAACCTACCTAACCTAACCTAACCTAACCTTTTCGGCTACCTAACCTAACCTAACCTATAAAGATAGGTTAGGTTAGGTTAGGTAGGGTTGGTTAGGTTTGGGCAAATATCTACGTTAATTTTAACTTCAATAAAAAAAAATTGACCTCATACATAATGAAATAGGTAGCTTTATCATTCCATTAGAAAAAAATTAGAGAAATTATATTAATTCATGAAAACTTGGCTTATTAGGCAAATCGGGCCTTGCATAGTAGGCTGAGAAGTGCGTTCTGGCTACTAGGTACGACATATATATATATATATATATATATATATATATATATATATGTCGTACCTAGTAGCCAGAACGCACTTCTCAGCCTACTATGCAAGGTCCGATTTGCCTAATAAGCCAAGTTTTCATGAATTATTGTTTTTTCGACTACCTAACCTACCTAACCTAACCTAACCTAACTTTTTCTGCTACCTAACCTAACCTAACCTATAAAGATAGGTTAGGTTAGGTTAGGTAGGGTTGGTTAGGTTCGGTCATATATCTACGTTAATTTTAACTCCAATAAAAAAAAATTAACCTCATACATAATGAAATGGGTAGCTTTATCATTTCATAAGAAAAAAAACTAGAGAAAATATATTAATTCAGGAAAACTTGGCTTATTAGGCAAATCGGGCCTTGCATAGTAGGCTGAGAAGTGCGTTCTGGCTACTAGGTACGACATATATATATATATATATATATATATATATATATATATATATATATATATATATATATATATATATATATATATATATATATATATATATATATATATATATATATATATATATATATATATATATATATATATATATATATATATATATATATATATATATATATATATATAAATATATATAATATATATATATATATATATATATATATATATATATATATGTTTTATATATATATATATATATATATATATATATATATATATATATATATATATATATATATATATATATATATATATATATATATATATATATATATATATATATATATATATATATATATATATATATATATATATATAAAATATATTTACTATAGTGTAAATATAGGGCTGTGTGCTATAGTAACACCTAAAATAACTTGTTATAGAGCAAATAGAGTTATAAATTAATATATTTACAGCATTGCAGACAACAGCCTGGTCTATCTTTTACAGAATCTACGTGAGGATGATGGGCCCAAAAGGTCATGCCTTGTGTGTGGGGACATCGCCTCGGGCTTCCACTATGGTGTGGCATCTTGCGAGGCTTGTAAAGCTTTCTTCAAGAGAACAATCCAGGTGAGGCCACCAGTTGCATTCTCATTTCTTCGTAAAGTGCTGTCCGGCGCTTTAAGACATGTGTTTGTATAGTGAAAATAATTTAGTGGCGTTTTGTGCTTGCTTTTCATATTTCATGGAGGTAGTATAAAGTTATCAACAGCCAAATAGTGTTATAAAGTTACAAATGACAAAAAAAACTCTTGCACTATGAGTTATAAATTGTAAAATGTTTACTAACGAGGTGTGTGTCAGCAGGGCAACATTGAATACACCTGTCCAGCTGCTAATGATTGTGAGATCAACAAGAGAAGACGGAAGGCATGCCAGGCGTGTCGCTTTCACAAGTGTCTGCGGGTTGGCATGCTCAAGGAGGGTGTAAGGTGGGTGATCCACAAGTGTCCTCAGGTTAGCATGCTCAAGGAGGGTGTAAGGTAGGTGATTCACAAACGTCTCCAGGTTGGCATGCTCAAAGAGTGTGTGAAGTGAGTAATCTACAAGTGTTTCCAGGTTGACATGCTCAAAGAGGGTGTCAGATGAGTGATCCACAAGTGTCTCCAGGTCAGCATGCTCAAAGAGGGTGTTAGGTGGGTGATCCACAAGTGTCTCCATGTCGGCATGCTCAAAGAGAGTATTAGGTGGGTGATCCACAGGTGTCTTTTGGTTCGCATGTATTTAGAAAGTTGGAAAGATTGGTCACGTGTACACTCATGGGGACCTAGCAGGGGGAACCACCGGAAGAAGGAAGAGAACCCAGTACAAAGGGGGCAAGAACCAAAGGCAGACCCTCCCCCACCAGGCAGACAAACAAAAAGAAACAGAAAACCCTGCAAGAGGACAGTGTACCCAGGCGGAACAGAGTTGGCCGCTATGATTGGTGAAAACAAGCTGGGAGCTGGGTAGTACCCTGTGCCCCTACCAGTGCAAACTGCCCCTTACCCTAAGGCAAACAAGGGAGACAGAACCCCCTAGCACACAAAGGGCGGCCAAAAACCAAACAGTAAATGGCCTAGCAGAAGTAGGACCCAAGGAACTTGTGGAAGGTAACCCCAAGCCCCAAGGGCAATACTTACAGGGCACCTTGGGAAGGTAACCCTAGGTGCATGCAGCCCGACTACTGGAGACTCACTCCCGGGTCATGCACCACCTAGAAGACAGACACCACACTCTAGGTACAGTGCTGAAACAACTACTGGAGCCGGAGTACACAACTGGTGCCTTTAGCATCAGCCGAAGAACTGATGGGTGGATAGCCGGCGTGAGAGGTCTAGGGCTCCCCCTGCCCCGAGAAGGGGTAGGGGAGCAGCGCAGACAGCGGCGCAGTGACATGTGACATCACACTAGTTTGCTTGTTTTCTGTTGGGGAGTTCTATCCACTAGTTCGACTTTTGGTAGCAATTTTAACCAGAATAGGGGTTTATTTTGGGACGCTTACCTTTCTGGATGCTTGATCCTGTCAATGGCAGACACAGAATGCTTCCAACCACACGGGAGTTTCTATAGGCCATTGCTCCCCTTGCCTCTCTGAGGGGGCCAGGTTCTGACCGTGGTCCCTGGTAGGCCTAAGAACTCCATACACATGACTGATGCCAAAGTCTGACATTAGCATATCAGCCTGGTATAGCTCCGGGGAGCCTCCGGGTCTCACCCAGGAAATGGCATTTCATTACATTCAACGCTGGTTTTTTACTACTTGTGTCACCCATCTTGTTCCCGTTCTTTTCTTTCTCCTTTTTTGGCACATATCTTTGTACGAGTTCAGTAATGACCTTTTTGAAATTTTCCCATGATGTTTCCATGCCCTGATCACCTATAGCTCCGTCCATGAAGTTTTTGTAATTCCTCTTTCATTCCCTAATAGTTTCGTCAATGCTAATCTAGAAGGTCATCATCTTGGACCTTTAGGAGAGTTTCTGTAATTGTATTCCATCTTAGAATACTGTATTGTGATCATACGATGGAGTGAGCTTTTTTCCTATTTGAATTATATCGATCATGCCCTCTTCTGATGTTAGCACCAGGTCCAAAATGCTGTTACCTCGAGTGGGTTCAGTCACATGTTGTATGAGAAATGAGCCCTGCACCAGGTCTAGAAATTGAACTCCTTCAGCTTGTGATGTTAGATTTACCCATTCTATTGTCTCGTTGTTAAAATCTCCCATTATAAGAGTTTGGGTTTGTGATGCCGCATTAATCACTTTATGCAGATCAGTGACTTCCTCTGCTGTTACTGTGTCAGCCCTGTATCTATCCATATGTTTCCATGTTGAGCTAGTATGTTGCACCATACATCATCACATACATTTGATGATGTGGTTTGTAATATTCTCGTCTATGTCACTGATGTATGACAAAAAGGGTAGGGCCCAAAATGGATCCTTGTGGCACCCCACTTATCACATTTCTCCATTCAGATTCTTTTCCATTTAGCACTACCCTTTGTTTTCTTCCCTTCAACCAATGTTTTTATCCATTCTAATATTTTACCATTTATTCCATGGGCCTGTAATTTCTCCTGAGTAAGTAGGTATTCATGAGTTAGTCAGCTTGTGGTGGGGTTGCATCCTGTTTGGGGTCTGTAATTCGGCCTGGGGAAGGGGATGTTGGTACAAGCCTAACATGTATGAATACACTCTGGCTGCCTGTCCCCCACAACACAATTAATTATTAATTTGACTATTGGAGCTAAGTCATCTTGGAGTGGGTTTGCTAGGGCATGGTTGAAACATCCACATCCCTCAGGTGGGTTTCCTGCCTGTTTCCAATCCCAAAACGGGACTGTGCGGATCTGAGGTTCATTTTGGACTTGTCCCACCTGAACCCCTGGATCGTTTGCCCCTCCTTTCAGATGACCCAGGTCCGGTTACTCTTGGAGCCAGATGCTTGGATGGTGTCTCTGAACCTCCAGGACGCATACTGGCACGTCCTGATTCATTTGTGGATCAGGGACTGGTTAGGTTTTGTGGTGAGGCAGCATGCTTACTGCATTTGATGCCTTCCTTTTGGCCTGAATCTGGCACCTCTCATATTTATGCCTCTCACCTGGGTCATGGTGACCCATCTGCATCTGTTAGGGGTTCTGGTTCTAGCCTATCTCGACGGCTGGCTTGTGTGAGCCAGTCAGTCTGGGTGTCTGCTCGCCTAGGGTGTGGTTCTTTCCCAGCTCACCAGGTTCGGGTTCCCAGTGAACTGGAGGAAAATCTATCTGGTCCCATCTCAGGTTCAGACTTCGCTGGGTCCTGTGGCGCGGGAGTTTGTGGCGGTTTGGCTGTCGCTTCAGAGGGTCCGGGTCGCTCGGGGTTTAACGATCAGGCTCCATTCGGACTGTACTCTGGTGGTTCATTGCCTGAACCTTGGGGAGCTCTCTTTGGTCCTTGGCTCTTTGTGGCTGGTCGCTTCAAGTGACTCGTCTGCTGGATTCTTGGGGTTTGGCTCTCCATGTGGTTCATGTCCAGGGGGGTATGTGCAATGCCCTGGCGGATGGCCTGTCCCAGTTCATTCCCCTGTCCATGGAATGGATGGTCGATGCCGACTCCTTCAGTTGGCTCTGCCAGATGTACGTACTCCTGGATGTAGCCCTCTTCAGGTGGGAGTGGTCCCGGCATCTTCCCGTGTATGTGGCGCCCTTCCCCAATTGCGAAGCTGTCGCGGTGCACACTTCAGCAGGACTAGTTGTAAGAGAGGGAGACCCTTGAGAAATAATTTTAAGGGAGAAATAGCAATGTTAAATGTTGCAAAACAGTCTGGAACCCTTACAGTTGAAATATCTTTGCCAGTACAATAGGCAGTTCTGCACATGCACAAAGCATTGTCTTAACAGAAAATGTCATCCCCCAAAAAACAGTGTAAACAAAGGTAATTAAATGTTTAAAAAGTACATTCAGTGCAAGAAAATATAGAGAAACAATAGTGTTAAATGTAGAAAAACAGCCTGGAATGTTATAAGATATATAAATTAACTAATTATTGGAAAATGTGTATGACGTGCGTATGGATGAAACATTATTGGAACTGAGCGGTTAGAGACTTGTGCAAGTTCTCTCATTCACTTGGTGTTGAGCAGAGTCAAAAAAGGACCATCATCACATGTGTGACTTGTGATGGTCTCCTACAATAACGATAAGTGCATTGTATCAGAGTATAGCAGTGCTCCCTCTTTGTATGAGTCAGGAATAGGAAGTCTTAAGAATTAAGTTTATTCATAGAACCCTGTGTGTAGGTGGTGTTTTGGTGTTATTAATTCATTTACTCAGATTTCTGTGCATGTGGTCTTATCCCCATTTACTTTGTCCACCCCCCTTTTGTGTATTGTGGTCAGAACAGTGTACAATATTGATAAAACCCATGCTTTTTGTAGTCACCCAGGAGGAGTGGAGTATAGTAATGACCATAAGTCCCAGTTTGTGAAGACTTTGCCTGTTGTGGAGATCCATTTGTCAATTCACCCCTAAGGCTTGTATTTTTTTGAAGGAATCCCTCCCTTATCCTTAACAATCCTGTGTGTGATCCAAGTAACCCCCTCCCCTTCTATCAAGTCAGTGTAAGGTAATCTTGTGTTAAATAAAAAACCTTTATGAAATTGTACCCCAAAATGTATTTCTTGTTCTTTGTAGAATAGAGTTGATTGTTGCTGCTATATACATATCCCCTCCCATTACTTATAAGAGTAAGAGTGGGTGTTGTTAACAATTCTCTAGGGTACGACTTTCAATCCCGTACCTTACATGGTTGAGGTGTTGTTACCTGTACTTCTTTGCCCCGGTCCAGCTGTTGCTTCGGGTCCTGGCTCGGTTGGAGACTTACCAGGGGAGAGTAGTCTTGTTAGCCCCTTGGTGGCCAGCCCAGCCTTGGTTTCAGACGCTGCTTGCTCAGTGTTGGAACCCAAAGTGTTTCCCGCGGTTCCGCCTCTTTCCGCCAGACTGGACTGGATCGGGCTGGTCCGGTCTGCGTGTCTGACTGAGTGTCTGGTAAACCTGGCTGGTTTGATCTACTCCGATCTTTGCATCTGGTCTTTTTGATGCGTGTGTATTACTGATTGTATGATGATCAGGTGACTTCGTTGATGGTGTCTCACCTGCGTGCTTCAGCGACAGTATGACGTTTCCAGGCGTTCTTTTCACCATTTTCTCTCCCGTCGTAGGTTGTCCTCTATTTTGGATTGGGTTGTTTTGTCCTTTCTTTCTTGGCTTTTTCAGGACTGTCCTTTGATGCCTAATACTGTCACCTCATATTGTGCGGTGCTGGCAGAGCCGCTTCAGCTTGCATTTGGGGTGGATGTTAATTCTGCTCCTTTTGCAAGCTTTCTCGTAATTTGTTTCACCTCCATACTCTCCTCTGGCACAGGAGTTTCTACTTTTTTGGGCCCAATGGTAGGTTTATTCGGTTGCAGCTGTCACCTTCGTTTCTGGCAAATAATGAGTCGGCAGCTTTCTGGAGAGGTTTCCTTTGGTCGTTGATGCTTGGTTGGTCAGGCTGGGGGGTTCATCATGTGTTGTGTCTGGTTGCAGCTCTTCGCCATTATTTGTGCGCCTCAGCCTCGGTGGCTGGGGATGCGCTTTGAGTTGATCCGATTTCCCTCGTTCCCTGGTACAGGGCTTGGGTCTCCCAGGTTCTCCGCAGGGTTATTCGGTCCAGCCAGCCTGTGGTCTATCCTCGTGCCCATGACGTCTGTAAGTTTGCTGCTTTGGCTGCTGTCTTTGATAACATGTCTTGGGCTGACATTCGGGCACGAGGGCTTTCAAGTCGAACAGGGTCCTCGCCGCCCGCTACCTGGTCAATGTTCCTGGCCCTAGTTTGGGGTGTGTTGCTTTGGGTCGCAGGCTGAAGCCAATTGTCTCGACTTCGAGTTAAGGAATGAGTGGTGGCTGCCTCCCGGGTAAGTCCCTCTTGTTCCTTTTCTTTGGTTAGGTAGCTCTGGGGAGCCATAGTGGCTCCCCACAGAAAACCAGTGTTGAATGTAATGAAACGCCATTTTCTGGGTGAGCCCTGGAGGCTTCCCGGCTCCCTTCCTCCCTCCGGTTGGCGGTTTTTGCTTTATTTTTGAAGCTCATCCTCAGAACTGAATGGTGGAGCAGCCGGCATGGAGGGTCTGGGGCCCCCCTCCCCCTCCTTCCTCCTGGGAGGGGGTGGGGAAAGGCTGCGCAGATGAGCGGCATGACAGTGAGGTGTGATGTTTACTTATAAATAAATAAATAAATAAATGTTTATTCAGGTAAAGTACATACATACAAGAGGTTATACAAAAATTGATAGATTTATAGATAGAGCTAGTACATACAATGCCTAAAGCCACTATTACGCAAAGCGTTTCGGGCAGGAAAAACATTAAAGACTAGAACTTAATACTAATTGAGATTAAAGTATAAAATGTGTTGAGAACAAATAAAAATAAAAAAGAGGGGAACATGGCAGAAAAAGCAGCACAAGTACAATTACGTCGACAAACATCGTTGTTTAAAAAATAACAGACATGGGTTGACAATATAGGGGTAAGGTAGCTTACAGGGAATTTATTAGGTAGTGCTTAATTTTTATCTTAAACTGGTTGAGAGAGGTACGGTCTTTAACATGATTGGGAAGGTCATTCCACATTCTGGGTCCCTTGATTTGAAGAGCATTTCTAGTTTGGTTAAGTCATACTCTTGGAATATCAAAACAGTATTTATTTCTGGTGTGGTGCTCATGGGTTCTGTTTCAACCTTCAATGAAGCTTTTGAGATCAGGATTGGCATTACAGTTCAGCATTTTATATATATATAATACACTTGAGAGGATGTGCAGTAACTTAACACTTTCGCTCGGGGATGACGCAGCATTGCGTCATCCGTTTACTGGCGGTAATGCCGGGGATGACGCAGCATTGCGTCATCCACTTTAAAAATTCGCCAAAAATCAGGTTTTTATCCGATTTTTTGGGGACTGGTTTTAAAATGTGCGCCGATGTCTTCCCATTTTCTTTGTTGAGCCTCGTGGCCCTCAGGCGGCTTGGCACATGCCGTGGGCCCATTGTCTTTGCTCCACTGTTGTGACCAATGTCGCCTCCCCTCGCATCTCAAACGTGTGAACATTTCGGCTATTTCCCGTGGCTATATTTCTTACTGCGGCTTTAGAAACTATCTACGCTTACTCCACGATGGATAGTAATCATGAACAAGGCCCTTCCAGGAGGAAAATTGCGAAAGAAAGGCTTGAAAAGGGTGGGAATTGGGAGTGTAGCAGGAAGGCCTCTGAGCACTCACTCACGGCTAACGCGTGGCCCGTCTTCAACTCGTCGGCGGTTGGAGCGTGACCAGGTTTTTTTTTTATATGCTAATGTTCCTCTAGAGAATTTTATTACGAACCCATTGAGACCAAATTGAAAGACCTAGGACAAAAATTGAGGTGACCAGAGTGAAAATAGTGAAAACATTTTATCACGTTTGCGCGCTCCCGGGTAACTCGTTCGCACTTTCTCTGTTTGCTGCGGGTAATTAGCTGGGCTTTTGGAGTTTATATGCATTTAGTGTTGTAGAGAATTTTATTGCGAACACAATGATACCAAATTTAATCTCGTAGAAGGAGAATTGAGGTGACAAAGTTGAAGAGAGTATACACTTTTCGAAATTAACGCGCGCTTCCGTGACACGCTGGGGCCCATATCGCCCTGTCGAGGGGTGGCGCGCGGGGTGAGCGAAAGTGTTAATATCTAACATATTCAGAGATTTGAGTAGGGGTACCGAGTGATGTCTGGGGCTAGAGTTGGATATTGTCCTAATAGCAGCTCTGTGTTGAGTAATTAGAGGACGTAAATGATTTTGGGTAGTAGAACCCCAAGCACAAATACCATAGTTGAGATATGGATAGATGAGGGAGTAATAGAGCATCACCAGGGCAGGGCGAGGTACATAATATCTGATCTTAGAAAGAATGCCAACAGTTTTTGAAACTTTTTTTGATATATTTAGAATGTGTCCCTGGAAATTCAGCTTGTGGTCAATGAGAACGCCAAGGAATTTGCCATCTATTTTGTTACAAATTTGGGTATTGTTTATCCTGAGATTTATTTGATTAGAGGATTAATTGCCAATCAGAATATAGAAAGTTTTGTCAATGTTAAGGGTGAGTTTGTTGGCTGTTAGCCAAAGATGGACTTTATTTAGCTCAGTATTCACTGTGACATTTAGAACAAGGGGGTCAGGACTAGGAGTAAATGTAGGTTGTGCTGTCAGCAAATAGAATTGGTTTGAGGTGTTGGGAGGCATTTGGAAGGTCATTAATGTAGATGAGAAAGAGGAGAGGGCCAAGTATGCTGCCCTGAGGAACACCGATATTGATGGGTAGGGTGGGAGAAATTGATTTATTCACAGAAACATACTGGAGCCTGTCAGTAAGGTAAGATTTGAGGTATTGCAGGGAGTGTCCTCTGACTCCATAATGATGTAATTTAAGAAGGTTTTGGTGGTTGACAGTGTCAAAAGCCTTATGCAGGTCCACAAATAACCCAACAGGGAACTCATTTTTATCAAGAGTTGCATGAATCAAATTAATCATACTAATAAGTGCATTGTTAGTGCTTTTTTTGGGTCTGAAGCCATATTGACAAGAGCTAAGTATATTGAGTTTGGCTAGATAAGAGTAAAGCTGCTTGTAGATTAGTTTTTCAAATATTTTTGACAAGTTAGGCAGGATTGATATAGGTCTGTAGTTGTTAACATCTGTGAGATCACCACATTTGTGGACAAGGGTTACTCTCACTTTTTTTTTAAATATCTGGAAAGGTTTGGAGTTCAAGTGACTTGTTGAAGAGCAATGCAATAGCAGGGGCTAAAGATCTGGAGTTTGTTTTGTAAATTAAAGTTGGTATCTCCTCAAGGGCACTAGACTTGGTTTTAAGGGAAAGGATTATCTCATTAACATCAGTGGACTTTGTAGGCTTTAGGTACAGAGACTGTGGATAGTTACCTGTAAGATAGTCCTTAACATCAGTACTGGAAGATGGAATATCATTTTCAAGGGATGACCCAATGGAAGAGAAGAACCTATTGAACTCAGTAGCAGTATCAGAGGCTGAAAGCTGACCATCGTTATTGGACAGGAGTATTGGTTTGTTATTTAAAATCTTCTTTGATCCCAATTCATAAGGGATTAATAAGGGTCAATTCCTTATTACTACAAGGTAAATTGCCCTGTGGACTTGTCTGCCATTTACTTTCCTATACTGCAATTATTCATCAATAAATTTCTGGCTTTCTTTTAATCTACTTCTGTTTGTTGTTGTAATACTCTGCACACAATGAAATCACAATAATGTATTATATTTTTCTCAGTGTAATACTTTATTACTTTTGGTTACCATTAGAACACTCACAACTTGTCCTTTTGTAATTAGGTAACGATCTTGATGATCTCAGCCTGAAGCGCTTTGACAAGACATTGTTACCACAAGGGTGTGTACATTGTTAACATGTTTTGCAAGCCATAGTTACAATGAGGATATAACAGATTGTTGTACAAAGTCATTATTTAAGGGTATGATTGAACACTGGTTCAAGGTATAGCAAAAAGAAAGTATTCTACCTTATCTGAACCATACTCAGCTTTATAATAGGTATTCTTCCTTAGGTTAGATCGAGTGAGAGGTGGCAGGCAGAAGTACCGAAGAACAACAGAGTCACCCTTCTCACTGCATCAAATGCCAGTCAAAAAAGTGTCATTAGAAGGTTAGTACAAGAACTAAGTAGACATATTTGTTCCAGAGTAAACCATTGGTTATAAAATTATAATATTAGTATGCATATTAAAAAAATAAATGTACTTAAATATAGAATAAAGCATAATCTCTCAAATATTCCTTTGGCACTATGTCAGTAAGAAAGTACTCTAAAACAAGGGCTTTTTTTTTACTAATGTCAGCATACAGGATTTCAGGACAATTGTGATAATGTATGCATATAGACTGTCAGTATGCTTGAGATTGTCAGCCTGCATATTATGTCAGTGTGTTGTTTGTCAAGACACATATAATGTTAGCTAATCGGCTATAACCTATAGCCTATATAGATTATAGCTGAGGTAACCTCTGGATCTGGAGCCCCTAGGGCAGTTCGTTGTTGCCTTCAACCTCATTCAGATAGTTCCTGCGACAGCGCTGGAACCAATCGTAACGGTGTTTGCTTTTCCTTTGGAGACTTTTGGCGCCAATGAGTGGGGTGACCTGCTGCATGGGTAACAGCTTCTTCCTCATATCAACCTACCCTAGCTTTGTGCCCTGGAGAAGCCACTCCAGACCGACAACCAGAGTGCAACTCTATAGTCTCTTTGAGACTGATGGATGCCTACTACTACTAGCCTATTGGAATGATTGTAATGACATCAGATGTCAAATCCTGTATATAGGTTGTCAGGATGCTTGTGATGATGTCAGCATGTAAGTTGTCAGGACACTTTTGATGATGTCAGCATGTTGGTTGTCAGGATACTTGTGATAATGTCAGCAGGTTGGCTGTTAGAATACTTGTGATGTCAGTATGAAGACTGTCAGGATGCCGAGATTTACCTAAAGTCCATCATCTGTTTAGTGGCCAAGACAGGCACAGGAAGCCAGTGGCTTCATCAAAGGCCCCCCTCCCCCATTTTTCCTAAGAATTTTCTTTAACTGGAATTTGAACTGCAGTAATATATTGCAATGTCTTGGCATTTATGGCTTTGGCATGTTCCATGGGTTTACCTGAATTTACCAGAGGGCCACTAACACTGTTGGCGTTGATGAGGACAGGAAGCCTGTGGCTTGTCGATGGTCTGCCCCCCCCCCCCCATTTGCCTTGATCTTTTCCAGTTGGATTTTAAAATTTATTAGTTTTGGCATTTATGGCTTCGGCGCGTAGGCAGTTCCATGGGTTTATAACTCTGTGGGTGAAAAAGCATCTCCTGTTCTCAGTCCTACACTGTGGCTTGTTGAGCTTGAAACTGTTGCTGCTTGTTTGTGTTACATCTGACCTTTTGAAGAAATTATCCGGATCAACATCCTCCAAATTGTTCAGTATTTTAAAAGTTTCAATGAGATCTGCCATGTCATGCCTTGTTTGCAGTGCTGTTAGCCCTGTGGCCCTCAACCGTTCCAGATACGTGAATTGACTTGGCTCTGGAATGATTTTTGTTGCCCAGTGTTGCACTTTTTCTAGAGCAGCTATGTCTTTCTGAAGATGAGGTCTCCATACTTTGCTACAGTAATCCAAATAAGAGCTCTCCAGAAATTTATATAGTTGAATCACTACTTTCTTTTCCTTAAAGTCAAAGGTATGTTTGATTATTCCAATGGTTTGGTTAGTGTTACAAACTCCTTATTCGTAACCAGGTTCTCTGATTTTTCTAAAGTCCAGAGGTCCATAACCTTGGTGAAAATGCAATAAACTGTTTAAGGTAAGAGAAATAAAATGGCAGCATAAAACCAGCATTGAATGTAATGAAATGCTATTTTCTGGGTGAGCCCGGAGGCTCCCTGGAGCTATCAGGCTAATATATGATATATTAATAATATAAGATGTGTGTGATATAATATGTGTATTATAATATATAATACTAATATGTGATATATTAGTCTAGGGCATTAGTCAATGGAGTTGAGCCTACCGGGGACCACGAGCTAGAACCTGGCTCTCTCATAAAGGCATGGGAGCAATGACCTCTGGAAACCCCCCATGTGGTTGGGGGTATTCCTTATCTGCCATTGACTGGGGCTAGGCACCCAGAAAGGTAGGCATAACAAAACAAACCCCACTTGTTAAGAAAATTGCATCCGAAAACCGAACAGGGAGGCAGAACTCCCCAATTTTCAAGGAAATAAGCAAACAAGCAAATGTCATACACCGCCGCCACGCTGCTTATCCGCACAGCCCCAGACCCATCGTGCCAGCTACTCAACCCCAGTTCGAAGGCTAAGCATAAAAAACTAAACGAAACTGCCCACCGGAGGGAGGTAGGGTGCCAGGGAGCCTCTGGGGCTCACCCAGAAAATGGCATTTCATTACAGTATCCACTCGATTTAATGTCCTATATGGGGCTGTACCCAGGTCGTTATTTCCAGAGCTCCAGTATTTCCAAAGTTGTTGAAGTGTCAATAATATTTTGAGTAACATTCAGGTAAGATATATTTTATATAACTAAAATGAAATAAAGTTCATTGTGTAACTGCATTCCAAGTTAGTTCCTGTGTTAGTGCCCATTCTATCACAGGTTACAATTAATAATTCCTTCATATGACAAGTTGGATCACACAAGTGGACAGGTGGACCCCACAATAAGTAAACCATATTAACCAAACACCTCCCTCCCTCACTGCCACTCTTCCCTCACCGCCACTCTTCCCTCACCGCCACTCTTCCCTCACCGCCACTCTTCCCTCACCCCCACTCTTCCCTCACCGCCACTCTTCCCTCACCCCCACTCTTCCCTCACCGCCACTCTTCCCTCACCGCCACTCTTCCCTCACCGCCACTCTTCCCTCACCCCCCACTCTTCCCTCACTACCACCACCACCCTCCCTCCCTCGAAGGAAACTTGGCCCCATAACCGAGGCAGAACTGGGTCGCACAGGAAGTATGGACATATGGCCTCTCGAGCCACCACTGGGGGGATTTGGGAAGAAGGAAACCTCAGGAAGGATGAAGCCAAAGAGCCCAAAGGCACTCAAAAATGAACCATGGGGAAAAGTGGGAGAGGTAAACCCAACTGAAACTCATACAGAGAGAGGGGGACAAGGAAACCACTCTGATGCAACACACGACCTTCAACAAGGCATGAAGGCCCACAAAGGATCAAACAGGATGCTAAGGTCCCACTGTGACTCTCCCAGGGCCCTGAAAACTGCAAAAGAGGGCTCTGGGGTGGAGCCATCGTCCTCACCCACTACCTGTGACACAAAAGTGGAGTCTTAAGGGGGAGGCCTCAAGAGAAGGGGCCTGCTAGAAAGTCTCCAAAACCCTGGCATGAGCGTAAGGCTCAACTTCCTCCGCGCCCGAGTCGGAAGGGGCAAATCCTCGAACAACACAAGCCACATCCTGAGCTGAACCCTGCCCCAACCTTAAAACCTCAGATATTCCAGAGCTGGAAACAGGAAAATCCAAGACCCTACCAACAATCCAAGCTGTTGTCACCTGATACCTCTGAATACAAAGAGTCACAAGTGGGGACCAAGACCCACACAACTCAGGGTTGAAGGTGTCATCAATCCAACAGGCAGCATGGCAAAGACAGACATATAAACATTGCATGATGGCACAGGCGATGAACAACCCACAATTTCGCACAAGGCAAGAGTGAGTTTGGAAGAAGTAACCAGTACAACAAAGCCCGAGGGGGTTTTCCAGGGCTTGCAGGGTGAGTGAGCCCTGTAGGAAGCCCAGGCACTTTGAATGCTATGCCAATAACCCCTCTATAGCACTGTCGGGACCCACGAACCCCCAACACCAGTGGAAAGTGCATAAATGATGCAATTATTAGTCTGCTTGATTTAATCTACTCAGCCCTTGACAAAAAGTTTCTGATTGGACTCTTCATTGACCTGAGAAAGGCCTTTGATACTGTTAGCCATAACTACCTCCTACTTAAACTCCACCATTATGGAATCCGAGGCCTTGACCTGAACTATATCCTATCATATTTTAGTGACAGACACCAATATGTAACCATCATTGATATAACCTCTCCCACTCTACCATTAACCATACAAGTGCTACAGGGCAGCCTCCTAGGACCACTCCTATTTCTTATATACATCAATGATCTGCTAATGTCTCTAACATTCTTACACCTATATTATTTGCTGACGATACTACCCTCATCTATTCAGACCCCAACCCACACACATTAAATAATGTTGTAAACAATGAATTAAAAAAAGTTCACTTGGATGTCAACCAATAAACTCACACTAAACATAGAAAAGACCTACTACATTTTATTTGGAAGCAAATCAACAAATGCAATTCAGCTTCAGATAGACAATGTTAACATCAGCTATAAAAATGCTGGAAAGGTCCTTGGCCTATACTTACATAAGAGACTCAACTTCAGCACCCACATACAACACATAACCAAGAAAGTCTCAAAAACGATTGAAATACTCTCTAAAATCAGATATTATGTTCCAAACTCTGCTCTCCTCTTACTATACTATGTGCTAATCTATCCTTATCTTACATATGGTATCTGTGCGTGGAGCTCAACCTCTGCAAACTACCTCAAGCCCTTCATCACCCAGCAAAAATCTGCTATCAGAACAATAACAAATTCTGCTTTTAGACAACACTCGGCCCCCCCCTGTTTAAATCCCTAAACATAAACTCACTCCACACACATTCTCTTGTGCCATTTACATTTACAAAACCCTGTTCTGAAACTCTTCCTGGACAGATGTAATAGAACACATAATCACCATACCAAAAATAAATCTCTCTGATATCCCCAGAGTCAAACTTAATCTGTGTAAACACTCTATGCAAATAAAGAGACCTGGTCTATGGAACTCACTCCCTAATGAATTGAAAAGCTGTCAAACTTTTGCCGTATTTAAAAATAAAATAAAAAAGTTCCTAATTTCATCTTCATGGTTTCCTACCTAGTGCTTGAAACTCGCACTGTATCTACTAGTGCTACCCAATCCCCCAGTATATATCCCCCACAGGTACAATCCCCGTGGTGAAGTGGTTAAGACTCTCATCTG